ACAACGATATCAAGTATCGTATCGTTGTTGAAATCACCAACAGCTACCGACCATGGAGAAGAATCAGTTGAATATGTCATTTGATTTGCGAAAGAACCATTGTCATATCTCAGAAAAATACCGACGTTGTTAGTGCCTGAATTGACAATTGCAATATCTATTTGACCGTCATTGTTAAAATCTCCCATGACAAACGACGTAGGCCGGGATCCATTCCCAATTATTAGCCTCGTTTGTATTAGAAAACCTTCACTGGGATATCCAATATGTACGCTAACACGGGCCTGATTCGAATTAGTGACAACGATATCCAGTCGAGTGTCATTATTAAAATCACCAACAGCTACAGAGTTTGGCCCGGAGCCAGTTGAATGTTTTATTTGATTTGCAAAAGAGCCATCACCATATCCAAGAAGGATACTTACAGTGCTGTCCCTATTATTAGCAATTACGATATCGAGTCGGGTGTCGTTATTAAAATCACCAACAGCTACAGAGTTTGGCCCGGAGCCAGTTGAATATTTCATTTGATTTGCAAAACTGCCATCTTCGTATCCAAGAAGGATACTTACAGTGTTGTCCCCATTATTAGCAACGACGATATCGAGTCGGGTGTCGTTGTTAAACTCATCAACAGCTATAGAGCTTGGCCCAGAACCAGTTGAATATTTCATTTGATTTGCAAAAGAGCCATTTACATGTCCGAGAAGCACACTTATAGTGTTGTCCTTCAAGTTAGTGACGACGATATCCAGTCGCATGTCGTTATTAAAATCACCAAAGGCTACAGACCATGGTTTAGAACCAGTTAAATATTTTGCTTGATTTGTAAAAGAGCCATCACCGTAACCAAGAAGGATACTTATAGTGTTTTCACCATAATTAGCGACGACGATATCCAGTCGAGTGTCGTTGTTTAAATCTCCAACAGCTACAGAGTTTGGCCCAGAACCAGTTGAATATTTCATTTGATTTGCAAAAGAACCATTTACATGTCCGAGAAGGATACTTATAGTGTTTTCACCATAATTGGCGATGACAATATCCAGTCGGGTGTCGTTATTAAACTCACCAACAGCTATAGACCATGGCGACGTGCCTGTT